TCGAATTTTGCAATTTTTCTCAAAAAATTTAGGACTCTAACAACCCTGGGAAAACTCTGGTATCAATATTCCTAGACTTTTTTACGTAAAAACCGTGGCTTTCGAACTTTGCAATTTTTATAAAAAAATTTATGACCGGAACAACCCCGGAAATTACCTAGCATCAATTTTCCCAGACTTTTTTACGTGAAAACCGTGACTTTCGAACTTTGCAATTTTTCTCAAAAAATTTAGGACTCTAACAACCCTGGGAAAACTCTGGTATAACTTTTCCCAGACTTTTTTACGTGAAAACCGTGGCTTTCGAACTTTGCAATTTTTATCAAAAAATTTAGGACCGCAACAACCCCGGAAAATACCTGGCATCAATTTTCCCAGACTTTTTTACGTGAAAACCGTGACTTTCGAAGTTTGCAATTTTTCTCAAAAAATTTAGGACTCTAACAACCCTGGGAAAACTCTTTTATCACTTTTCCCAGACTTTTTTACGTGAAAATAGTGGCTTTCGAACTTTGCAATTTTTATCAAAAAATTTAGGACTTTAACAACCCTGGTATCACTTTTTCCAGTCTTTTTTTTTCTCAAAAAATTTAGGACAATAACACCCCTGGTATCACTTTTTCCAGTCATTTTGAGGTAAAAAACGTGGCTTTCGAATTTTTGCAATTTTTCTCAAAAAATTTAGGACTCTAACAACCCTGGGAAAACTCTGGTATCACTTTCCCAGACTTTTTTACGTGAAAACCGTGGCTTTCGAACTTTGCAATTTTTATCAAAAAATTTAGGACCGTAACAACCCCGGAAAAAACCTGGCATCAATTTTCCCAGACTTTTTTACGTGAAAACCGTGGCTTTCGAACTTTGCAATTTTTATCAGAAAATTTAGGACTTTAACAACCCTGGGAAAACCGTGGTATCACTTTTTCCAGTCATTTTGAGGTAAAAAACGTGGCTTTCGAACTTTGCAATTTTTCTCAAAAAATTTAGGACACTAACAACCCTGGGAAAACCCTGGTATCACTTTTTCTAGTCTTTTTGAGGTAAAAAACGTGGCTTTCGAATTTTGCAATTTTTCTCAAAAAATTTAGGACTCTAACAACTCTGGGAAAACTCTAGTATCAATATTCCTAGACTTTTTTACGTAAAAACCGTGGCTTTCGAACTTTGCAATTTTTATCAAAAAATTTAGGACACTAACAACCCTGGTATCACTTTTTCCAGTCATTTTGAGGTAAAAAACGTGGCTTTCGAACTTTGCAATTTTTCTCAAAAAATTTAGGACACTAACAACCCTGGGAAAACTTTGGTATCACTTTCCCAGTCTTTTTGAGGGAAAACCGTGGCTTTCGAACTTTGCAATTTTTATCAAAAAATTTAGGACACTAACAACCCTGGTATCACTTTTTCCAGTCATTTTGAGGTAAAAAACGTGGCTTTCGAACTTTGCAATTTTTCTCAAAAAATTTAGGACACTAACAACCCTGGGAAAACTTTGGTATCACTTTCCCAGTCTTTTTGAGGGAAAAAACATGGCTTTCGAACTTTGCAATTTTTCTTAAGAAATTTAAGACCGTAACAATCTCGGGAAAAACCTGGCATCAATTTTCCCAGACTTTTTTACGTAAAAACCGTGGCTTTCAAACTTTGCAATTTTTATCTAAAAATTTAGGACACTAACAACCCTGGTATCACTTTTTCCAGTCATTTTGAGGTAAAAAACGTGGCCTTCGAACTTTGCAATTTTTCTCAAAAATTTTAAGATTCTAACAACCCTGGGAAAACTCTGGTATCACTTTTTCTACTCATTTTGAGGTAAAAAACGTGGCTTTCGAACTTTGCAATTTTTATCAGAAAATTTAGGACTTTAACAACCCTGGGAAAACCCTGGTATCACTTTTTCCAGTCATTTTGAGGTAAAAAACGTGGCTTTCGAACTTTGCAAATTTTCTCAAAAAATTTAGGACACTAACAACCCCGGGAAAACCCTGGCATCAATTTTCCCAGACTTTTTTACGTAAAAACCGTGGCTTTCGAACTTTGCAATTTTTATCAAAAAATTTAGGACTCTAACAACCACGGGAAAACCCTGGTATCACTTTTTCTTGTATTTTTGAGGTAAAAAACGTGGCTTTCGAACTTTGCAATTTTTATTAAAAAATTTAGGACCGTAACAACCCCGGGAAAACCCTGGTATCACATTTTCCAGTCTTTTAAGGTAAAAAACGTATCTTTTGAACTTTGCAATTTTTCTCAAAAAATTTAGGACCGTAACAACCTTGGAAAAAACCTAGCATCAATTTTCTCAGACTTTTTTACGTGAAAACCGTGGCTTTCGAACTTTGCAATTTTTATCAAAAAATTTAGGACTCTAACAACCCTGGGAGAACTCTGGTATCACTTTTCCCAGACTTTTTTACGTGAAAACCGTGGCTTTCGAACTTTGCAATTTTTATCAAAAAATTTAGGACCGCAACAACCCCGGAAAATACCTGGCATCAATTTTCCCAGACTTTTTTACGTGAAAACCGTGACTTTCGAAGTTTGCAATTTTTCTCAAAAAATTTAGGACTCTAACAACCCTGGGAAAACTCTTTTATCACTTTTCCCAGACTTTTTTACGTGAAAATAGTGGCTTTCGAACTTTGCAATTTTTATCAAAAAATTTAGGACTTTAACAACCCTGGTATCACTTTTTCCAGTCTTTTTTTTTCTCAAAAAATTTAGGACACTAACACCCCTGGTATCACTTTTTCCAGTCATTTTGAGGTAAAAAACGTGGCTTTCGAATTTTGCAATTTTTCTCAAAAAATTTAGGACTCTAACAACCCTGGGAAAACTCTGGTATCACTTTTCCCAGACTTTTTTACGTGAAAACCGTGGCTTTCGAACTTTGCAATTTTTATCAAAAAATTTAGGACCGTAACAACCCCGGAAAAAACCTGGCATCAATTTTCCCAGACTTTTTTACGTGAAAACCGTGGCTTTCGAACTTTGCAATTTTTATCAGAAAATTTAGGACTTTAACAACCCTGGGAAAACCCTGGTATCACTTTTTCCAGTCATTTTGAGGTAAAAAACGTGGCTTTCGAACTTTGCAAATTTTCTCAAAAAATTTAGGACACTAACAACCCTGGGAAAACCCTGGTATCACTTTTTCTAGTCTTTTTGAGGTAAAAAACGTGGCTTTCCAATTTTGCAATTTTTCTCAAAAAATTTAGGACTCTAACAACCCTGGGAAAACTCTGGTATCAATATTCCTAGACTTTTTTACGTAAAAACCGTGGCTTTCGAACTTTGCAATTTTTATCAAAAAATTAAGGACCGCAACAACCCCGGAAAATACCTGGCATCAATTTTCCCAGACTTTTTTACGTGAAAACCGTGACTTTCGAACTTTGCAATTTTTCTCAAAAAATTTAGGACCCTAACAACCCTGGGAAAACTCTGGTATCACTTTGCCCAGACTTTTTTACGTGAAAACCGTGGCTTTCGAACTTTCCAATTTTTATCAAAAAATTTAGGACACTAACTACCCTGGTATCACTTTTTCCAGTCTTTTTTTTTCAAAAAATTTAGGACACTAACAACCCTGGGAAAACTTTGGTATCACTTTTTCCAGTCTTTTTGAGGGAAAAATCGTGGCTTTCGAACTTTGCAATTTTTCTTAAGAAATTTAGGACCGTAACAACCCCGGGAAAAACCTGGCATCAATTTTCCCAGACTTTTTTACGTAAAAACCGTGGCTTTCGAACTTTGCAATTTTTATCAAAAAATTTAGGACACTAACAACCCTGGTGTCACTTTTTCCAGTCATTTTGAGGTAAAAAACGTGGCTTTCGAATTTTGCAATTTTTCTCCAAAAATTTAGGACTCTAACAACCCTGGGAAAACTGTGGTATCACTTTTTCCACTTATTTTGAGGTAAAAAACGTGGCTTTCGAACTTTTGCAATTTTTCTTATAAAAATTTAGGACCGTAACAACCCTGGGAATACTTTGGTATCACTTTTTCCAGTCTTTTTGAGGGAAAAAACGTGGCTTTCGAACTTTGCAATTTTTCTTAATAAATTTAGGACCGTAACAACCCCGGCAAAAAGCTGGCATCAATTTTCCCATACTTTTTTACGTAAAAAGCGTGGCTTTCGAACTTTGCAATTTTTATCAAAAAATTTAGGACTTTAACAACTGTTTAGACATTAAACATTTGTTCGTTATTGTTAAAGTCGGGATAAATGAATCAATATAAAACTTGTGAATTTACATTATCAACACAATTCATTTATTAATTGCATCCATTAATACAAGATTAGTGTACAATTGAGAAACCGACAATTCATTTCGAGAAAAGTGTGTGTTCAACTCGGGGACTAAATGTCATCTAATTTTTGTGTGAGAGATGGTTGTGGGTGGAGATTTTGAGAGGAAATTGAAAAATAGAGTGGGGATTATAGGGTTCGAAATGGTTTTTGGAAAGGGAACAAGTTTAAGATGCGAAATGCAGGTATAGAGCGGATTTGAAGAAATGTGTTGTAACAAACTTAAATTGTTTTACGGATAACATCGAGGACTCGGTGTCTTCTAAAGGCTATTGTATTAATATGGCGTCGACTGAAGTAGTTTTTAAAAGTGTAAAATTGTCTGTAAATAACTGCAATAATGTGTACGTGAATTTTGACGAAAAATAGGGATTAAGAAAAGATTTGTTTTTATGATTTTAGTTTTTTTTCTAGTATGCACCAAACATGCCGGCGACCTTGAACGAACATTGTTCAATAATAAAAATAAAGTTCAGTATAAAGTCTTATAGTCATTTATAGCCTAGCACTTAGTTCACTTCTGTAACATCTGCGTCAATTGTTACAGTCTATTAATTCACTCTGAAGATTCAACTGGTAAAGGATACAATTGTTTAATGGAACGTTTGTAGGTTCCATTCGTAGTTTTCACGGTGACCACTCGGATCACTCCATCTGGTCCAGGGTGTGTCTCGTAGATGCGCCCCTATTTCCAGTGCAAGGGAGGTAAATTGTCTTCTTTTAAGACAACAAGGGTACCGATTTTAATTTCTGAGGAACCTGATTTCCATTTGCTGCGGGTGATAAGTTCATTGACATACTCTTTTTGCCAACGCTGCCAGAAATGTTGTCTCATTTGTTGTGCGTGCTGCCAGAGGGATAATCGGCTAGGTTTGACGTCCAGCAGGTTTTCCTCAGGTAGTGTTGTCAAGGGGCAACCAATTAGGAAATGACCAGGTGTCAATGGACGAAGATCATTAGGATCGGAAGAGATTGGAGTGAGAGGACGTGAGTTCAAGATTGCCTCAATTTCATAGACATAAACTTGCAATTGTTCGAAAGTCAAAATAGCAGTCCCTACTGTGCGAGTAAAGTGGTATTTAAACGACTTTACGGCAGCCTCCCATAAACCACCAAAGTGCGGTGCGCGAGGAGGACTGAAATTCCAAGTAATTTTTTTGTTTTCGCAAAAATGTTTTAATTTTTGTTTGTGATCGACTGAATTTAATAATTGATCTAATTCTTTTAATTGTCTGCTTGCGCCAACAAAATTAGTAGCATTATCAGAATAGATTTTGCTGGCTTTTCCACGACGAGCGAATAATTTTTTCAAACTACCAAGAAAGGCATCAGTAGTGAGATCACTCACCAATTCAAGATGTACCGCGCGGGTAATAAAACAAACGAATACTGCGACATAGCATTTTATATTCTTTGTATTGCGATATCTTTTTTCTTTAACAAAAAAAGGACCACAATAATCGACCCGATCAGCGGGTAGATTTCCCATTTTATAATCAAATCCTTGTGGATTGACACGAACACAAGTTACACATTGACGGAGTACCTTTCGTGTAATATTTCTGCCGTCAATAGGCCAATACAATTCCCGAACAGCATACAAAGTCGCTTGAACTCCTGCATGCTGCAATTTCTCGTGTTGTTCGCGAATTATCATAGAAGTGACAGAATGATTGCGAGGGAGCACTATAGGGTGCTTTTGATTAAAATTCAGATCAGAATTTGATAAGCGTCCGCCAACTCTAAGAATTCCTTTTTCTAGGAATGGATCAAGGTTCAAAAGTTTGCTTTTATTGTTAACGGAATTGCCATTAGATAATTGATTATCTTCTTGAGAAAATTCGCGTTTTTGAATAAGTTTGATTATGCAGTCGTGAGCTTCATTACTCTCTGCCATTGTCAGTTCACCAGTTAGCCGGTCGAAACCTTTTGCATTGTGACAGAAACGGCGGCAATAAGCTATAACTCGAGTCAAAGTTCGGATTGAAGAGAAACGTGAAAGAAAATATGCATCAGTATCAGTGACTGTTGCGAAAACATTTGTCGAAACTGGTTTACGAAGTTCAGGTAGCGAACAGGGTTTCAATTCTAGTTGAGGCCAGGTATCTTCGTCTTGTACTAGCCATTGCGGACCATGCCTCCAAATGTCAATGTTAGAAAAATCCTTGGGCATGACCCCCCGTGAAGGCAGGTCAGCTGGATTATCGAGGGTGGGCACGTGTCGCCATTCACACGATTGTGTTGATTCAAGAATTTCACCTACTCGATTTGCAACAAAGGTTTTTAAAGTATGTGGCGGAGTCTTTATCCAACAAAGTGCGATAGTCGAATCTGACCACAAAACTTGTTTCTCAATTTCAAAGTGATTAAAGGCTTGTTTTGCGGCAACAACTAATCGCGATAATAAAAGTGCTGCACACAATTCCAACCTGGGCAATGTCACAGGATGAATTGGCGCTATTCGTGATTTTGAGCAAACAAGATGAGATTCGTGTTCACCTGTTTTATTTGTTGACCTGAGATAAATGCAAGCTGCGTATGCCCTTTCGCTGGCATCGCAAAATCCATGCAATTGAACAGCCCCATATTCGGGTGAAAATAAACAACGATTAAATTCAATCCCATTAAGAAGGGGTAATTGATTTTTAAATTCAAGCCATTGAACTCTTAATTCATTGGATAAACATTGATCCCAATCGATCTTGTTTTTCCATAAATGTTGAATCATGAGTTTAGCGCAAACAATAATGGGACTTAACAATCCTAGTGGATCAAAAATCCTTGCAATGTCAGAGAGAATTGTACGCTTTGTGATTTCATTGCTGGTACTCAGGTTGTTAATTAAATAAATTATTTTATCTTTGTCTGGAACCCAAGAAATTCCCAGCGTTTTGATAGTATCTTCTGATTTTAATGATATGAGAGAATCAGTTGATTTACTATCAAGATTGTTGACTAAATCTGGGCAATTAGAAGCCCATTTTCGCAATGAGAAACCTCCCTTTTTTACAATTTCGATTAATTCATCTCGAAGTTCTAGAGCCCTTTGTTTAGTTTTTGCACCTGTTAAGCAATCATCAACATAAAAATTGTCCCTTAGGGCTTGAGATGCAAGTGGGAAAAATTGACCCTCATCGTTTGCTAATTGCAATAGAACACGAGTGGCAAGATATGGAGCTGAGGCAGTACTGTATGTTACGGTTTTCAGCTGAAAGATCTTGATTGGTTTGTCTGGATTATCTCGCCACAATATTTTTTGATAGTCGAAATCTTCAGGGGCGACTAAAACTTGCCTATACATTTTCTCTAAATCGGCAGATAAAACATACATAAATAATCGAAAGCGAGTGTAGATGGTGAAAAGGTCATTTTGAACTGTGGGACCAACCATTAAAGCATTATTTAATGAAAACCCCCTAGAATCCTTTGCTGAACCATTGAAAACAACGCGTATTTTGGAAGTCAACTTTTCCTCCTTGATAATAGCATGGTGGGGGAGAAAATACCCGGTGTTGAACGAATTTTCATTTAAGTCTTCTGACATGTGACCTAAATTTTCATACTCATTTATAAACTCGGCATAGGATTGTTTCAAAATTGGATTCCGTTCTAATTTCATTTCTAAATGATTGAACCGTTTCTTCGCCATGTAAAAGGATTGTCCAAGCTTGTCCTTGATTTCATTAAAGGGTAAATTAACAACGTATCTACCATCAGGGAGCCGCTTTGTATTGTTAATGAAGTGAGCTTCACAAGCTTGCTCTTCTTGGGAAAGAAACTTTTTGTTTGGGACTTGTTCAAGCTCCCAGAATTGAGAAAAAATATCTTCGGGTTGAGTTGTTGAATTAACAACTAAATGACATGACTCAGTTTTGGACTTGGAGGAACCTTGAAAAATGTTTCCTGCTACAATCCATCCCAAGCGAGTTTTTTGAAGGATGGCATCGTGACCCGGAATAGAAAGCTGCCCGATACAAAGCAATTTGTAAAATAGTTGCACACCGATAAGTGCGTCAATATCAGCTGATTTGTAAAACTCAGGATCGGCCAGTTTTATGTGCTGAGGAATTGACAATTGGGAGCGCTTGATTGAAATTGAAGGCAGTTTACTAGTGATTCTCGGGACAACAAAAAAGTCTAAATGTGCTTCATATTTATTAACTCGTGATTTCATCGTACTTGAAATTGATTTTGTAATCGAGGTTTGTGACAACGAAAACCCAGTGACATTGATATTGACTGGGCTTGCCTTTAAATCGAGAGAGGCAGCCATTTTCTCCGTTATATAATGAGATTGTGATCCACTGTCTAACAAAATTCTGCAAGAATGAAAATTGCCCTGTGAGTCTTTAATGTCGACAATTGCCGTGGATATTAATGAGTGTGGATTACCATGAGCTTGCAACATAACTGATGAATTATTGTCAGTTGCCAAGTTCACAGATTGAGATTCAGTTTCTTCTGGATGGAGAAGAGAATTGTGTTTTTCTTTACACTTTCGACAAGGACCTAATTGACATTTGTGTGCTTGGTGATTCTGACGCAGGCAGTTCATGCACAATGATAAGTCTTTAACCTTTTGTAAACGTTCAGTTATTGACAGCTTTAATAAATCTTGACACGAATAAATGGCGTGATTCCCTTTACAAAAATAGCAAATTGGTTTACTCTGTGTAGTAACATGCGAATGTTGAACATTGGATTTTTTAAACGACTTTGAATTGCTCTTTTGATTTTCGGACTTATTACTCGATTTGATCTGAATTTCCTCAAGTCGAGTTTCTTCTAATTGTGCTCTACGTTGTAAAAAAGTAAACATGTCTTTCATAGTCGGAAGGTTTGACTCTGCTGTTGAATCTTCCCATTTGTCGCGATTAAATTGATTTAACTTGCCCTTAATGATGGAAATTAAAATTGTGTCCCAATTATCAACAGGTATATTTAATGCTCGCAGTGCTCTCACATGTTTTTGAACATGATCGAGTATTGCGCGAATCGAAAATTCTTTTGTTGACGCTGGAAGTTCAAGCAAAGCCTTAGTGTGACTTTCGACTATGAATCGACGATTGTTATATCGTTCCTCTAATAAATCCCAAGCAACCTGATAATTTGTTGAGGATGTTTCAATTGCATCAATTATCGCGGCGGCTTCATCCTTCAAACATGATTTTAAATAGTGTAACTTTTGAATTGTAGGAATTTTTTCATTTTGATGAATGATTGATTTAAAAGTGTCTGAGAAACCCAACCACGTATCGTAACTACCCGAGAACGTTGGCAGATTAATTGTTGGCAATTTGATTTGAGGTGTAATGTTTTGACTTCTGTTAGAAGCAGCATCTTGAATTGGTTGTGTCGAACTTGAGCCCGAAGAAATTGGAGCATTTGAATATTTTAATTTATCGTTATAGAATTGTAAACGCCCGGTTAAATTAAAATATCGATTTTCAAATTCAGTTCTTTCGAGTTCATGTACTTTAAGATTGTCGTTATCATCAATAAAGAAAAATTCTAATTGCGACTGAATATCTTGGAATTCCGTCCAAGTCTCTTCTAACTTACGCAATCTTTCAGCAGGGTTAAGCAGATTAAGATTTGAATTATCATTAATTGCATTCACATTTTGTTCGTTATTAGTTAAAGTGCGTTTTAAAGTACCACGTTTAAAAACGAGGTCCTTTATTTGAGCATCTGTCATTTTGACTTTTAAAAACAAATGCAGTTCAAGAATGAGACATTGGATAGTAAAGTGGAATGAATGGAATGGTGCCTTGACTTACTTGATGTAAATTGACTGATGAGATTGACTGCATACGACGTTGACTGGATACGACGATGAGCCTTATGTTGACAAGCGTTGATTGACTTCACTTTCAGTTGAATTGGGAAACTGCAAACTTGAAGTGGCAATGGGCTCCGGTTCAGAAATTGTCCAAGAAAAAGGGTTTAATATTCACAGATTGTAATTGCTGTGGATAAACACTTCACTTGTTTGACGGCACTTAATGGTGTCCAGAAAAATGTTCACTTGATTGACGGCACTTAATAGTGTGCACAGAATCTTGACTTGATTGACGGCACTTAATAGTGTGCACAGAATGTTGACTTGAGTGACGGCACGTAATAGTGTGCAAAAAATGTTCACTTGTTCAATAGGTTAATTGCTCCACAATTAGAATTGTATGGAATATCAGTTTTTTCGGACGTGTGATTGCCGTACAATTAGTTCAACTATATAATAATGATAGTGAACTTTAACTTTTAACTGAGCAAACACTTATGCACGCGCGAACTTAAGTTTAAATTTCATTCCGCGTGGCAAATCCGGCTCGAAGGACCACAAAATGTTTAGACATTAAACATTTGTTCGTTATTGTTAAAGTCGGGATAAATGAATCAATATAAAACTTGTGAATTTACATTATCAACACAATTCATTTATTAATTGCATCCATTAATACAAGATTAGTGTACAATTGAGAAACCGACAATTCATTTCGAGAAAAGTGTGTGTTCAACTCGGGGACTAAATGTCATCTAATTTTTGTGTGAGAGATGGTTGTGGGTGGAGATTTTGAGAGGAAATTGAAAAATAGAGAGGGGATCATAGGGTTCGAAATGGTTTTTGGAAAGGGAACAAGTTTAAGATGCGAAATGCAGGTATAGAGCGGATTTGAAGAAATGTGTTGTAACAAAGTTAAATTGTTTTACGGATAACATCGAGGACTCGGTGTCTTCTAAAGGCTATTGTATTAATATGGCGTCGACTGAAGTAGTTTTTAAAAGTGTAAAATTGTCTGTAAATAACTGCAATAAAGTGTACGTGATTTTTGACGAAAAATAGGGATTAAGAAAAGATTTGTTTTCATGATTTTAGTTTTTTTTCTTCTAGTATGCACCAAACAACAACCCTGGTATCACTTTTTCCAGTCATTTTGAGGTAAAAAACGTGGCTTTCGAACTTTGCAATTTTTCTCAAAAATTTTAGGACTCTAACAACCCTGGGAAAACTCTGGTATCACTTTTTCTACTCATTTTGAGGTAAAAAACGTGGCTTTCGAACTTTGCAATTTTTCTCAAAAAATTTAGGTCACTAACAACCCTGGGAAAACTTTGGTATCACTTTCCCAGTCTTTTTGAGGGAAAAAACGTGGCTTTCGAACTTTGCAATTTTTCTTAAGAAATTTAAGACCGTAACAATCAAGGGAAAAACCTGGCATCAATTTTCCCAGACTTTTTTACGTAAAAACCGTGGCTTTCGAACTTTGCAATTTTTCTCAAAAAATTTAGGACCGTAACAACCCCGGGAAAACTCTGGTATAACATTTTCTTGTATTTTTGAGGTAAAAAACGTGGCTTTCGAACTTTGCAATTTTTCTTAAAAAATATAGGACCGTAACAACTCAGGGAAAACCCTGATATCACTTTTTCCAGTCTTTTTAAGGTAAAAAACGTATCTTTTGAACTTTGCAATTTTTTTAAAAAATTTAGGACCGTAACAACCTTGGAAAAAACCTAGCATCAATTTTCTCAGACTTTTTTACATGAAAACCCTGGCTTTCGAACTTTGCAATTTTTATCAAAAAATTTAGGACTCTAACAACCCTGGTATCACTTTTTCTAGTCATTTTGAGGTAAAAAACGTGGCTTTCGAACTTTGTAATTTTTCTCAAAAAATTTAGGACACTAACAACCCAGGGAAAACCCTGGTATCACTTTTTCTAGTCATTTTGAGGTAAAAAACGTGGCTTTCGAACTTTGTAATTTTTCTCAAAAAATTTAGGACACTAACAACCCAGGGAAAACCCTGGTATCACTTTTTCTAGTCTTTTTGAGGTAAAAAACGTGGCTTTCGAATTTTGCAATTTTTCTCAAAAAATTTAGGACTCTAACAACCCTGGGAAGACTCTGGTATCAATATTCCTAGACTTTTTTACGTAAAAACCGTGGCTTTCGAACTTTGCAATTTTTTAAAAAAATTTAGGACCGTAACAACCTTGGAAAAAACCTAGCATCAATTTTCTCAGACTTTTTTACATGAAAACCGTGGCTTTTGAACTTTGCAATTTTTATCAAAAAATTTAGGACTCTAACAACCCTGGGAAAACCCTGGTATCACTTTTTCTAGTCATTTTGAGGTAAAAAACGTGGCTTTCGAACTTTGTAATTTTTCTCAAAAAATTTAGGACACTAACAACCCAGGGAAAACCCTGGTATCACTTTTTCTAGTCTTTTTGAGGTAAAAAACGTGGCTTTCGAATTTTGCAATTTTTCTCAAAAAATTTAGGACTCTAACAACCCTGGGAAGACTCTGGTATCACTTTTCCCAGACTTTTTTACGTGAAAACCGTGGCTTTCGAACTTTGAAATTTTTATCAAAAAATTTAGGACCGTAACAACCCCGGAAAAAACCTGGCATCAATTTTCCCAGACTTTTTTACGTGTAAACCGTGGCTTTCGAACTTTGCAATTTTTATCAGAAAATTTAGGAATTTAACAACCCTGGGAAAACCCTGGTATCACTTTTTCCAGTCATTTTGAGGTAAAAAACGTGGCTTTCGAACTTTGTAATTTTTCTCAAAAAATTTAGGACACTAACAACCCAGGGAAAACCCTGGTATCACTTTTTCTAGTCTTTTTGAGGTAAAAAACGTGGCTTTCGAATTTTGCAATTTTTCTCAAAAAATTTAGGACTCTAACAACCCTGGGAAGACTCTGGTATCACTTTTCCCAGACTTTTTTACGTGAAAACCGTGGCTTTCGAACTTTGCAATTTTTATCAAAAAATTTAGGACCGCAACAACCCCGGAAAATACCTGGCATCAATTTTCCCAGACTTTTTTACGTGAAAACCGTGACTTTCGAACTTTGCAATTTTTATCAAAAAATTTAGGACGTTAACAACCCTGGTATCACTTTTTCCAGTCTTTTTTTTCCCAAAAAATTTAGGACACTAACAACCCTGGGAAAACTTTGGTATCACTTTTTCCAGTCTTTTTGAGCGAAAAAACGTGGCTTTGGAACTTTGCAATTTTTCATAAGAAATTTAGGACCGTAACAACCCCGGGAAAAACCTGGCATCAATTTTCCCAGACTTTTTTACGTAAAAACCGTGGCTTTCGAACTTTGCAATTTTTCTCAAAAAATTTAGGACACTAACAACCCTGGGAAGACTCTGATATCAATATTCCTAGACTTTTTTACGTAAAAACCGTGGCTTTCGAACTTTGCAATTTTTTTAAAAAATTTAGGACCGTAACAACCTTGGAAAAAACCTAGCATCAATTTTCTCAGACTTTTTTGCATGAAAACCGTGGCTTTCGAACTTTGCAATTTTTATCAAAAAATTTAGGACTCCAACAACCCTGGTATCACTTTTTCCAGTCATTTTAAGGTAAAAACCGTGGCTTTCGAACTTTGCAATTTTTCTCAAAAAATTTAGGACACTAACAACCCTGGGAAAACCCTGGTATCACTTTTTCGAAACTTTTTGAGGTAAAAAACGTGGCTTTCGAATTTTGCAGATTTTCTCAAAAAATTTAGGACTCTAACAACCCTGGGAAGACTCTGGTATCAATATTCCTAGACTTTTTTACGTAAAAACCGTGGCTTTCGAACTTTGCAATTTTTTTAAAAAATTTAGTACCGTAACAACCTTGGAAAAAACGTAGCATCAATTTTCTCAGACTTTTTTGCATGAAAACCGTGGCTTTCGAACTTTGCAATTTTTATCAAAAAATTTAGGACTCTAACAACCCTGGTATCACTTTTTCCAGTCATTTTAAGGTAAAAACCGTGGCTTTCGAACTTTGCAATTTTTCTCAAAAAATTTAGGACACTAACAACCCTGGGAAAACCCTGGTATCACTTTTTCTAGACTTTTTGAGGTAAAAAACGTGGCTTTCGAATTTTGCAGATTTTCTCAAAAAATTTAGGACTCTAACAACCCTGGGAAGACTCTGGTATCAATATTCCTAGACTTTTTTACGTAAAAACCGTGGCTTTCGAACTTTGCAATTTTTTTAAAAAATTTAGTACCGTAACAACCTTGGAAAAAACCTAGCATCAATTTTCGCAGACTTTTTTGCATGAAAACCGTGGCTTTCGAACTTTGCAATTTTTATCAAAAAATTTAGGACTCTAACAACCCTGGTATCACTTTTTCCAGTCATTTTAAGGTAAAAACCGTAGCTTTCGAACTTTGCAATTTTTCTCAAAAAATTTAGGACACTAACAACCCTGGGAAAACCCTGGTATCACTTTTTCTAGACTTTTTGAGGTAAAAAACGTGGCTTTCGAATTTTGCAGATTTTCTCAAAAAATTTAGGACTCTAACAACCCTGGGAAGACTCTGGTATCAATATTCCTAGACTTTTTTACGTAAAAACCGTGGCTTTCGAACTTTGCAATTTTTTTAAAAAATTTAGTACCGTAACAACCTTGGAAAAAACCTAGCATCAATTTTCTCAGACTTTTTTGCATGAAAACCGTGGCTTTCGAACTTTGCAATTTTTATCAGAAAATTTAGGAATTTAACAACCCTGGGAGAACACTGGTATCACTTTTTCCAGTCATTTTGAGGTAAAAAACGTGGCTTTCGAACTTTGCAATTTTTCTCACAAAATTTAGGACACTAACAACACTGGGAAAAACCCTGGTATCACTTTTTCTAGTCTTTTTGAGGTAAAAAACGTGGCT